TCCGTATGGAGCGAAGTTGTAGTGAAAGACATGTCTGAAAGCTAGATTAACTATCTACTTCCCCCAATAAACAAAGTAGAAGTGATAAGAAAATTAAGCAATGCACAAAAGGGTATTTAGAATTATCAACTTTATACCATAGCAACGTGAGTTCAGTGAGTAACCACACAATATTACAGACATTGTCATCAGTGAACCTGCATTCTGATGAAAATAGGTAAGATCTCCATATTTGTCATTTTTAATCACCTTGGGTTATATTATATAATAACATATTCATTTATGGTACATTTTTTTCATACTATTCTTTCTAATCCAGTTGTTGCTGGGTAAAACAGTCCTTATGTTTCCCTGAATTAAGAGGATTTTTCCCTGTTAAATTAAATGAATATATATAGAATTATAACACAAGTGAAAATGACATGGGGAAACTATGGAACCAAAGAAAATATTTAACTTATATTACTCTTCCTTGTTTTATCTAATGTTCCATTTAACTAGAATCTAGTGATATTCTTATCTTATTTTATAACTTATCATAAACAAGTCAAGCTTTAGAATTACCATTAGGCAGGGTGTGCTAAAAGTCAAGCCCCATAGGCCAATTCAAATATTTTACTCTATTAATATTTTTTCAAAGAAAATGTTACTTAGAAACATCATGCACCAAATGGGTAAGAAATTCTTTAGAAAAAAAAACCATTCAAACTTAATATAATATTATCAACTGTCTATAGAGCCTGACTTTTAGTATACCCTGTATATTTTACAACCGATAGCTTAAGCACCAAATGATTATATCTCAAAATGGCATAAGTAAAATTGAATATATTTTACTAACCTGGGATCATTAACTAATGTCTCTTTTTCATATTTGAACAACTGGAAATTTCCTACAAAATCTGTCAAGGGAATTATCAAGATTTCCTATTCACAATCTAGAACAGAGGTCAGCAACTTTTCCATGCTGGAGGCTGGGAGGGAAAGGAAGCAGCTGGGAAATTTGCACGCACACATGTGTGCATGCAGAAACATGGCCATGCACACCCACATGGCGCTAGCGGCCCCATTTACATAGGCATGCGTTAGCTGCCACTGCTAGCCCCACACGCATGTGCAAACAGGCCACACAACCCACACAGTGCTAGTGACCCCATTTGTGCATGTGCGCAGGTGCTACCCATCCCCACTAGCCCCGTGTGCATGCGCAAATGGGACGCGCAACCCGCATGGCGCTAGTGGCCCATTTGTGCAGGTGTGCAGGCATTAGCTGCCTCTGCTAGTCCCACGCGCAGGCACAAATGGATCCACAAGTGTTAGTGTGATTGGGAGTGCACACCCACATGGGTGTGCGCTAGCCAGCCTGTCCCATGACACGGTGGCCAGAAGGCCATGGCCCAATAGTGGGCCACGGCCCATAGCTTGGGGACCCCTGACCTCGAGCTTTCCAATAACTGGTGCCAATTCATTAGGAAAGGCCTGTTTTTTCTATAGGGATCACCAAACATTGTGCATATCATGCTGCATTCTTTCCATGGGCTTTTTAAATATCATTTTGATATTCTGAGGGCCTTATGTGATCATCCTGCAAGTTCTCAATTTGTAAGAATAGAAGTGTCAATTATTAGCTCTCTTCCCAATGCAAATAACAGCCAGAGATGGAGAAAAGGATCTGGAGGGGTCAAAGGTTAAATCCTCTCCACATGACCCCTGCAGCTCTAATCTGTGTCAAGTAATTCTTGTGGGTAGTCAATCAATAAAAAAATCTAGGGCAATTAATTTGGTTATTACAGATATTTTGAAGAGTTTTATACCAAATTCAACTAAAACATGCAATCTAAAAAAGTTTATTAAATATAAAACTTATTTTACCAGAGATCAGGCTGATCCATATAAAATACTGTGACTCAGACTCCAGTTAATAAACACAATTGCTGAAGTCACATAACATGTTGGCCTAGTTCATATAACAGCAAAATTAGTGGCTGAATTCCCATAATAAGCTGAATTTTAGATGAATCCATTTAGATGAATCCATTTTAGATGAATCCATTTAGATGAATCCATTTAGATGAATCCATTTAGATGAATCCATTTTAGATGAATCTAACAAATTATATAAGTCTGCAAGTCTGATTGAGATTTAATCATCATTGATATAAACAAATTAAAATCAACGAGACTTAAATTAGTTTAAGACCACAATTCTATATCCTAAATACAAAGACTCATCCTTACGTCTGCTTAACTGCAACACAAATATGTCCAGGTAATGTTCTTTCAGATCTTTTTGCTGCTGCCTTACCGTAGGACATTCTGGTGCTTAACATAGACAGTTTAGGTTGTCTTCAGCGGTTCAAGTTTTAAAATACTGTTTTGCTCTTTCCTCCACATAATTTCTCATTGGATATGATCTAGCATGCTTTCTTAATAACATGATTAATTCTGGGGTCTTGAGTTGTGCTCAGTTCTAGCTAGTCACTTTAGGCTGCCAGAGATTGTTTCCTCCCTTCCCCTTACTAGGCACTATAGATAGATGCCTGACTTCCACAGAATTATCTGCCCAAATAATAGTTGTTGGCCGAGCAGGTATAAAGATAGCCAGGGAAATGATTGAAGCCTGGGAAATGGACCCCTTGTCAGTCAATAGGAATGCTGATTTACCAACTTATGAGATACTTAGGAGCTGAGGGCTTGGCAGCACAAGAAAACAACAGCCAATCACTGTCCATCAACATATCAATCAACCAATAGGAAGACACTCATAAATACAATTTATAAAATGGCCCAAAGCACATATTTCAGTTGAAAGAAGTTCCCTGAAAATGGGCTCCAGCACGAGTCTGAAAGATCAGAAGAGTAAACCTGGTGACTGACCCTGATTGGATCTTGCAAATAATGTCTGACCAAAATTTTCTGAAACATTTGTCAGATTTTACCTGAATACTTACTTTTTCTCTCTGTGTGGATTTAGTTCTCTTTGAAAAAGTGCTAGTTCAGTGCTTCACAAAAGGTCAGTTTAAACATGGAAAGAGAGCTTCATAGGTAGGACACCATGAATGCATTATAGGTTGGCCACTCCTGCTGACAAGGATTTCATGTGGCTATTCATTTTACTATATCAGTTCTATGGGCCATGTATAAGTCCTGCTGGCAATAGTTGCTCAGTGTCCTTCCCTTGCAATAACAGTAATAATGTAACAGAGCTAGAAGGAGGTATTCTAATCTAGTCCAACCCCCTGCTCAAGCAGGAGATCATATACAGTTTTTGTTGAGCATTGAGCTCTCCCTTATTAGTTGCTCCTACCAAATGCATCTTATGCCTCTCATCTTCATCTTCGACTTGTCAGTTCAGCTATTTTTGTATCTTTGTTTGGTACTCTTTCTAGACCCAGGTTTAAAAAATAGCAAATTGATAAGTAAGAGATGAAGATATAGGTGATATCTTGGTTGAGCAGTTGATTAAACTAGCCATTTTAAGCACCTCTCAACAGTTGCCCATCCCCCTCTTGCCCTATATTAAAGAGAGCAATTGGTAGTGTTTTTTTTCTTCTTATCTTCAAAGGACTATTGATAGAAAGGAAAATAAAACTAGTTGTTTTCCTTAACTTTCCCACACTAAGGATACCTCCATTTGCTGGATCTATTACTTAGAATAGAGATGAAGGGAAGCACAATTTATGCAGCCGTGTTCTGCTAGCTTGCAACCTGGAACACAGTTTTTTAATGTAGCTTTCAGATTATGCCCTAATTTCTGTGCAAGTCAATGGATCTCTTGAACACCCATAAGACTACCAGTTCTGGATTACTGTACAGCAATATGGATGGTAACAAAAAGCTAATTATTCTGGGTAGTGATAACTAGATTTGTACAGCCTAAACCTGATAGCTCTAAGCCAGTGGTTCTCAACCTGTGGGTCGGGACCCCATTTGGGGTCGAACGACCATTTCACGGGGGTCGCCAAACAACGCAGTCCGCCATTTTTTCCCCCTTTTCCTTAGCTGTGCTACTCCCTTTTATTCTATTGGCTTTTGAAAGCCAATAGAATACACTCTCTTGAATAGAGTCTAATTCTATTGCCTTTCAAAAGCCAATAGGAATTATCCAGGCTGTCTCTGCCCTGCTGAGCCCGCCAAAAGTCCCATTCTGCAAACGGTGCTGCCAGTTGAGTAGTTCTCGACTTACGACTGGTTGAGTAGTCCTCGACTTAAAAGGCATTAAAAAGGTTGAGAACCACTGTTCTAAGCAGTGCTTTTTTTGTAAAAAGAAAAGGTGCCGGAACTCACACATGTCATACAACCCGCGTTGCCTACCCTACAAGGTTCCATCCAAAAAAGGTGCCGGAACTCCGTTCTGAGCATTCTATGACAAAAAAAGCCCTGGCTCTAAGTAAACCCAATCAAAAGACTCCATTATATATTCAGATGCACACCTATACTTCTTGGAAGCATGGATTTGCTAGCCTAGGATGTCTTGCTCCAATGATATGTATTGCCACCACCTATTCTTCAAGTCTGTTGTTCTCTCCCACACAGTTTGCAAAGCTGAACCTACATCTCCAGAATTAAAATAATCTAAAAAAATGTCACTCTTTTAAAGTCTAATTGGTATGATTATTGGAAAACAAGATATGTTTTTAGGTTCACCCTGTAGCTACTGTGTTATTCTTTTCTTATATAAAGCCCTGAAAGAATGTTTCAGTTACGTCAGAAAAATCTTTCCAAATCCCCTTTAGTAAGTTAATTGGCAAATTAAATGAACTATCTGTAAGGTGGTGCTACCAAATCTCTAAATTACTGAAATCTAGTAGGCCACTTGACAGCATCAAAGGATTACAGCTTTCTGGATGATTTTGTTTCCCTCTAGTGGTCATCTGGATATTTGCAGCCTAGGTCTTTACCTCTATTGTGAGGTGACAAAAGCATTAATTCAAACTCCTACTGGGCCTTATGTTTTCCCCAACGAATAATTAAATGGGAGTTGCTGACAGGTAGAAATAGTTCCCAGAAACCCATGTAGCTGTCATAATGTAATCTTGTAACTTCAAATATTTTTTGGCATAAGGCTAGCATAAGGGCAAACTAAACCATGCCATTTCAGATTTTTCCCAGAAATGCAACTGAAATTCAAATGATTTGTCTGGAATGCCTATGTTACCATTTGTTTTCTTCTTTATTTATCTAACCTACTTCATTCCTACTTCACAAAGTGCTGTTAATAAGATTAGTAATTAAAAATCTCGAATGGCAATTGGCAAGCAGACTCTCTTCAGAGTTGAGTTGGCGCTGTGTCACCAACAGGCTTTGATGAGTATTTGGAAGAGTGAAGCAAGACACATTCGACTGTTGCTAGTGCCTAAGAGCAGAAATGGAGAAATCCAGACCTTTATGGGACAATCGTTTCCAGTTTATATTTGCCTGTATTTCTTATGCAGTAGGTCTGGGGAATGTATGGCGGTTTCCTTATTTATGCCAGATGCATGGAGGAGGTAGGTGGAATTTATGCTTCTCATTTTGCCATTTGAGATTAGGTTTTTTAAACCTGTTATCTTTGTCAGAGTAACCTCAGGTGTTGGAAAGGAGAAATAAGCAACAATAAGTAATAATACAAATGAGATATTTCTTCTTTTCATCACAAAAAAATATTCTCCTTTGTTTCTTTTTTTTCATTAATACATTTCCATTTTAGCACCTAGTAAATTGTTACTTTCTAAACCAAAAAATATTGTTAATATTAATTTAGTAAAAAAGATGCTATCACCTTGATTTACAACCTATTGCTTAATAACCATTTGAACTTATGATGGATCCAGCAAAACCTACTTATAACCTGTTTTCAAAGTTACAGTGGCTGCAAACATACATATGGACTCACATACATACATACATTAGACACATGGGATCACTTGGGGCATTTGGCAACTGGCTCACTTTAATGACTGTTTCAAACATCGTGCAGTTATGTGATCATGATTTGTAATATTTTTGTTGATTTCTGGGGGGAAATGTCTATTGGGGAAAATGTATTCAGTTAACAATCATATTATTTGCTTAACAATTATTGTAAAATTGAGTCTGGGCATGTGATGACTCAATTTACAACCGCAACAACTCGCAACCCTAATTCCAGGCTCAATTATTTTGGACTACCTGTAGTGCTATTACTACTCTTGTTGTAACTTGATGGAGTTGAAAGGCTATGTATTATTATCCAAATTGCTTTTGTACATATCGTGTATAAAACCAGAGTTTTATAGAGACATAAGACAAGAAGATATATTGCAGCAAATTTGCAGCAAATTGAAGATATAGTGGCAACTGTTGTTTAATTTTGCAGTCCTATTTTCCCCTCTTGTGCCACTTCTTGGAATGAGGTCTCAGAAACAGACTTTTCCACTTACCAAAGCTAAAGAAAGGTGACTATTGCTTGTATCCAATGTCGTAATGTTCTCATTTCAATCTTTTCACCATCTGTAGAACTTTTTTCTCCCTTTTATGAAGTCTCAGGGATAAGCACTGGTGGGTAGCAGCTTAAACTTGCACCATGCCACTTCTGAGCTAAGCTACTAAGGATCAAATGCCATCTGATGACACGGTAGATTCATTCTATCTCTGCCCACTTCCCCCAGTTTTAAAAATCCAGAACCAATCTACTGAAACAGATAACAGCTTTACACTATTATAATAATTTAGATCAGGAAAAAGAAAATTATGTGAATTATGTTATTAGGATGGAATTGAAACAATAGAGCAAATATATTGCTATCTGTAACTAGGGTTGACCTAAGGCAATATTGTTTCTGAAGTAAAGCAGCAAATCATACTCTACTTCTACCTGTAAAGTCAAAGAAAATGTTATCTAAGGTTTCCAAAGTTGTCAATGGAGGCCAAAAACCTTCCCTATACTACTTTTCTATAAAGGTAGAGTAAAAGTTAAACAGATAATAATTTGCTTTCATCCATTTGGCATTGAAGTTATTTTTGCCTTGCTTGAATATGAAGCCTTGGATCACAAGGAAAACTGAGGCCTCAGATCTATCATCTCTATTTCTTAAAATAAACAATTTTGGTGATTAGGCAAGTTTGGGTCCCAATTGTGGCCATAGGCTGAGGACTACCTATATCTCTTGTGGAATTTTCCAATGAAATTTTCTACCTCAGTACATGCTATATCTCCTGTAAGAGAAAACATTGTGTAAACTTTCCTAATAGAGAAAGATTAGTTTTGGAGTAGATAATTTATACTGAAAAAGTATAACATTCCCAGATTAAATTATGGAAGGGGAGAGTCCGTTTATCTGCCCAATAGAATAATCACTGATCAAGTGTGTTCATCTGTTTTATTTTGTATGACCTTGGCTTTCAGTATTATCTCCAAGCACAGATGTTATTAGGCCTAAGTCCATAGCCCATAGCCCAAGTCCATAGCTTGGGCAATGAATTTTAGAAGGCTGAATCAATTTCCTGGACTGTGAGTACCTTTGATGACAGTGGAAGACATATTTTGAAGCTTCACCCTCCTTTAGGAAATAAATCTTAGAGAGGAAGTGATGGGATTTTAATTGGGTCTACTAAATTAATTATATCCATTTGATGAAACCTCAAGAATTGTTCACTATGATCAGTTAAGCTTGGGATAGAGTAGGAGGACAAAACCTTTCATTAAACCAAATGGAAGTTATTGTTTTTGAGCATAATTGCATACTAGTAGAAGAAAGTTTCAAGGCTGGGGTAAAGAAAAGGTGGAAGTAAAATGTTTCTTCCTTGTGTGCTGTACATTGTAATCCCCTTGCCCCAAATATCCTCTCTCCCCAGACTAGGATTAAGTTTAAGAAATTAAGTTATGGAAGAAACTCTGTAATGTTTCTAAATTTAGTTGTCATACCAAAGGATTTTTTGTGTGTGTGTGAGGGAAGGAAGCTGCAGATGATATAAAAGGGAAATATTTTTCCTCCCTGTATAGTATGGCAACTTCAAATCTCCAGGTCACAACAGTTTAAATCTTTCCAATAGTACCTCATGATGTCCATCAAATTGATCAGATTATTTCAGTCAGGTATAGATTTATCCATCCAGTAATGTGTAATAAATCTATTAGACATGTCCCTTGCAAATAAAAATCTAGAACCATTTAACTCTTTTTTGTGTTGTTAATAATTGTATTGAAGTTTTTAATAAATATATTTAATATAAATATATTAAAAACTAATACAAACAAAATTAGACAGAAGAAAAGAAAAGTTGGAAGGTGTAGAAAAACAGAAAAGTAAAAAAGAAAATGGCAACAAAGACAATAATAAGGAAGATACTTCTAATCCATCTAATAGTGAGCATAAGTTAATATATTAACTTTTTGCCCTCTTTTAAAGTTACAAGTAAAACTTCTTTTCTCCATAGTCTGATTTTCCAGAAATCATAATATTTTTAATCCTACTTCAGTAAAAATAATCCATTAGCCTTACGAGAAATATGAAACAATAATTTGTACTATGTCAAATAGTCAAACTTTATTTTCTTTCTTTTTTTGCTCTGCACAATTTAACCTTTAAATCCTTCCTATGGCACTGCAGGATTTGATATTTCATCACTCTTTAGTTTTTAAGTAGGCTTTTATTAGCCTACTTTGTAAATTCCATAAAGAGGATTTCTTGTTGTAGCTATCCATTTCCAGATCCTTTTCTTGATTTTGTATTGTCATTTTGATAATCTCAATTTTGTTATCTTCTATGTCTTCAGACTTTGTAATGTCTATGTCAGGTAAAAAAAAAAATAAGTTTTTCCTCATTAATTTCTAAAAGTTTATCCATTGAAATCTGTATTCCTTCTGACATATTAGTTATTAACATTTCAGTCCACATTTCAAAAAACTCTTTAGGATAAGAAAAAAAATACAGCAAATCTAGCCCTTTTAACTCTTTTCTGCCTGGTCCTTTAATTCCTTCTAATATCAGTCTGCAACTTTCACCAAGCCTTACCTGTGTGTGTGTGTGTGTGTGTGTGTGTGTGTGTGTGTGTGTGTGTGTGTGAAGAGAGAGGGAGAAGAGAGAATTATGGAGAAGCGGGAGAGAGGGGGAAGAAGAAAGATCAGATGAATAAGAAAATCATTAACCATAGTTGCAATAAGAAGTATAGAATTTATATAGTTTAAAACCCGTGGTATCCTATGACTTACCAACACCTTTATAGTTATATAGGTTTTCAATAAGCAACAGTTGCTTCATAAGTACAGATTGTGCAAGTCTTGGAATATGACATACATTAGTATATAGCATGTATATAATCAACATGCTATTTCATATTTATATAATATCCTGCAAAGATTAGAAAGCTTATTATCCCTCCAACAGCCCTGCAAGCTAGGGCATATATAGTTAGCACATATGTTTCCACCCCAAAAATATTGGTACACTATAGCTCCAAGTAAGTTTTAACAACAATTTTATTTTTCATTTAACATTGCATTTATACCTATATGTTAACTCGTGCATGCTATATGTATATGTGGATCTGGACACAGCTTATTTTTAATTGCTTGTTTTATCAACCCATTCTCCTCCAAATATTAAAAATTATCATTTCTTTAAGTCCTGGGCCAGGCAAGCTCTATATCCTGGTTTATTTCTTAAAATTATTTTAATTAAAAAATAAACAAAAGGGAAGTTAGCATATTGCAAAGCATCCTCTTTATTTTCAAGTGTGTTGCTGGTTGCAAATAGACCTTAAATACAGTTTTAAAGAGTAAGCAGGATAAGAGGCTGGTGAAGGTTTATCTATGTGGTCACTAGGCATCAAAAATGACTCACTGGCACACCAATCTATCAATCATCAATTAGACAGGTGTAGCTGAATGCTTGATATGGAAATGGGCCACCTCTCCAGAAGAAAAAGGATTACCAGGAAGAATGGAAGTAACCTTGTCAGTTTGCCTTCTGGCAGCCAATCTGTGAGGGTTTCCATGATATATTTCCGTACATCCCAATGTGTTTGCTGATCTAAAAGCATTGGGGGAACTTTTCTTTACACTGCTATGTCTCTGTACAATTGCATTGATCCAATAAGAATATCCTTCAAGGAGGAAGACTCCCTGCAATGCCTGCTATCAGAGGCCCAGACAGGAGGCCCTGAAAATAATTCCCTGAATAAAATGGATTATGCTATGTCACTTGTTTTTATAACTGCCTTGCTAAACCTGGAGATTAAACACCAAATCATAGATAATTACATAAATATTTTGGCTTTAAGGAAATAAAGGAAAGCTAAACTTAAAAAACTATGTTTGATTTAATCAAAGAGGATTTCAAGACTTGGACCATAAACCATTCTTTTGAAAAGGTTATGATCACTATTAATTAAACCACTTAAGGCAGGGAGGCTAGTACATGCCAAAGAAGATATTTTAGTCACATGGAACAAAGTGACGTACATTTCATCGAAGCCAATACCATTTAATTCACTGGAACTTTCCAGGATTTAGGATTTTTCAGTTAAA